GGGGGGGGGGGGGGGGGGGAGAGAGAGAGGCGGGCATCTCAAGGGAGACTCCTCGATTATTATTTTAATATGGAGGAGAGAGAGGGATTCCACCATATCCTCCTTGGTTAGTGCCTTAGCGATTGGAGGATTAACCCAGATTCTCCTACATCTCAATAGTGGATAGGACTAATTTTTTTCGGTTTCAACATCTCAACAGCAGAGTAGTGTCCCTTCCATGTGATACTGAAGGGACATTTATATGGATCTTAGGAGGAGAGGGGTCATCCTGCTTTATAAACCTCTTTTAGCTGGTTTGATGGGGCTCAAAGCATCATTCGAGCTCTAACCTTAGGGGCCTTCTTCTTGGCTTCGGTTTCAAAAGAGACGAGCCCATCCTTAAGTCATCCAATGCTTGGTCCCTCACTAGTTGGGCGAAAGATAATAGAAAGCAACTTTATGCAAGCATATCATTCTCGTGTTAGGCCTCTTAATATGGTTCGAAAGGTGTAGTAATTAGGGTATTGAAGACGTCATATAGGAAAATTTGACCATGGAAAGCCATAATGTGCTCCATCAGATTGACATTACCATCTAACGTCTCCAAGGATGGCAGATGTAAGCTCTCTGAAATCAAATTCTCTTGAATTTTTGGGTGAACGAGAATCGACCTTAGGTGGAGTCAACCAATGCTTCCCATTTTGATTGTTAGAGCTCTCATTGCATCTCCTCTAAACGTCAGTCCATCTACCATAGTTGGATCAGTAGGGAGTTATCTATCAAGTCCATTGAGTGGGCCTCGGATTCAAGCGAGGCAGATTGAGAGTGGTGTGATCCATTGAATTTCATCGATAGAGATCGAAGTGCCCCCTCAACTGATGGTTTAACAAGTCTTAAGCATTTATGAGATGTTGGCACTATGTCGAGTTAGGGAATCTTGACAAGGTGCTAGTGGTAGTGGAGCTAGGGACTATGATTGAGCTGGTGGCATTGCCTGTTGGGCCAATTAAGGAAAAAGTCGAGTGAGTGTATGTATCATGCTTGTTAATGTTTGTATTTACTGAGTAAGATTTAAGAACAACTCAATAGGGCTGAGTAGGTGGCTTAGGTACTAAGGGTCGATGGCGAAGCCTCTTTGTTCTAGTATTTATTGAGAGGATCGACGAGCGAGCATTCATATGACATCGAGCCCTCCTTCCAACGCCAAAAATGTTATGGGAAGATGTTATTGGTGTCTTAGTAAGCCCAACATGGTTCTGACCTATGTGTATAAGGATGTTCAAAGTGTGGTCGAGGTGTCTTAGAAATAAAAACACCTAGCACCCAAGGTGTCACATGTACAAAGTGCTAGTCATAGGTGCCCAACAAGCCAATCACGTGAGTGATGGCATGTGTGACTTGACATGCAGTCGTTTTGCTTATTATATTTTGATATTTTATCACTTTATATTGACTATATATATATATATATATATATATATATATATATATATATATATATATATATATATATATATATATATATATATTATCAACATATGTGTGTGTGTGTTGAATCTCGTATTTTGATGATGAAACCAATTGATATGTGTGATATGTGTTTATAATTTAATCTGCGTTTTGAGTGACGTAGGATGCTTCGATCAGGATGAGACAATTAAAGCAGGAAAAATCATGTTGTGCTGGGGGAAAACATGTCAGATGATCGGTCGACGTATCGACAGAAGGCTTCGGGCCGTGGATTCGGGCATCGGACCAAGAAGAACGGATATTACACTAAGGATATCAGAGTTGTGGAGTCAACTACCCGATTGGGCAATAGACCACAAGAGAGGACAATGCGCCGAAGAATCAGACGAAGCGTTGAGGGACCAATGACATGCCAGACAACTTGATTAATGCTTAGTATTAATTATCTAGATCGAAGTGTATTTTACATGTGCAGGATTAACTACGATAGCAAGACATGAAGCAAAATGAAGTCCCGGAGTCAAGATCGAGATCACGTTGGGAGTTCGAGAGTTCGTCGGAAGTCCGGACGTTCATCAGAAGTTCTAGTGGAACTAGCCGAGAAGTCTCGGAGCTTACTAGAGAAGCTTGTCGGAACTCGCCAAGAAGATCATCGTGAAGTCCAAGAGCTTGCCGGGAGTCCGCCGGAACATTGCCGAGAGATCGTCGAAAGTTCGTTGGAAGATCGTCGAAGCTCGTTGGAAGAATAGACATAGGGACTTGTTTAGCTTAGCAAATGTCTTAGGATTTCATAATTAGCACGTAATTGGGCTTGGATTTGGGCCAACCCAATTAGGGGCCAGCTAGGCCCATATAAGAACTGTGTTGGCCCAATAAGAGGCCCAAACAGTGCCCCAAGAAGTCTCACCATCATGGCATAGTCTTGGAGACTGTGTCAGGCGGTGGTACCGCCAGTCTGGGCAGTTGTACCGCCCTTGGCAGGGTGTCAGGAGGTGGTATCGCCAGACCTGGGCGATGGTATTGCCCAGGGCAGTGTCAGTGTCAAGTTGACACTAGGCGGTGGTACTGCCCAGCGCAGGCGGTAGTACCACCCGTGCTCGGGGAACCCGGGATGGAAAAGTTTTAGGCTCCAAGTTTGAATTAACTTGAAGCCTATAAATACCCCTCTCATCCCTGGTTAAAGCATACAGGCACAGAGAGATTAAAAGAGAGAAAACGTTGCTATGATCTTTAGAATTCCCTCCTCTACTCTAAGTGTTAGAATTCTATAAGAGAGGAGTGTGTGCTTGTAAGGGTTGTCTCCTAAACCCGAGAAAAGAAGAAGAAGGGTGTAAAAGGGTAGTTGATGTAGGTCACGTTGACCGAACCACTCTAAAATCTGGTTTGTATTTTACTTTGAGCAATTTATCCGTACAATCCTCTTCAATAACTTACTGCTTTCAATACTTTTCCGTATGCTTTCAAGCTATTTTTATGAAATCGATTTTATTGTACGAAGGTTTTTTGAACTGATGTGATTTTACTACTGCACTTTAGTGC